TATGTATTTATTTATCGATGTCTGCTATGCATAATTCGATGTTTTACATACTTCTGTATATAAGAATATGAATAAATATGTACCTGGTAGACTGATGGCTCGTTTTCAGAAATATTATATTCGAGACTGAAAATAATCAATATTATTTAATGAACTAATTAAAAAGATCATATGTAATGGTTGTCATGGAAACGCTTCAAAGAATTTTCAAGGTTTTTGTGATTAGGTTACCCAAGAATTCAAGTAAATAAATATTGAACTGGTAAATATTATACTTTCACAATTTAAGTTTATATTTATTTTTCGTTAGCTTTGTTTAGCATTTTGTTTCTCTGTATAGCTATAATATAATACAAAATCCAGCAAAATTTGATTAATGTGATATTGAGAACACATTCTCCAGAATTGTTTTAAAGTTTTAATGTATAACAGGAATTGGATAAAACAATGCGTTCATAACAAAAGATTAAAACTAGACTTAGGTGTCTAACAAAAGAACGGCTTTTTTTTTCATTAAATTATTTTATTTTTAAGAAATTTTACATTGAATGTCAAATTTTAATTGACTAATTTTGCTTTGATTGTGAGTAGTATCGGGACGGTAGTGGCAATTTTTGATTCTGTAATTTTGACAGGGATATAGGTGAATACGTGAAAGATTGAGAATGCTTTATTTAAGTGACATACTAGTAATTGGTCTAAACATTAATAAAACAGAACACTTTATAGAATACATTTACTGAGATTAATAGGAGCAATATTTCTACAATGATTCACTTCTTATCATCATGATTCATAACGACAAGAGAAACATTGTTTAAACGGTTGTCCCTATTAAATTAAGTAAATATATTTCATAAAGTTTAGTATATTGTTTTTTTAAACACGATAGACTCTGTGGGCTGAATGCCAGTGCGATGCCATGAGTTTCTAGTTGGGGTGGAATGGGGGACGCACGACATGGAGTAACTCGTAGGAACACATCCAACAGAACTAATTGCATCGTAGCATGTGAGAGGGTAGGGATGGGTGGCTTGTGGATATGAATAATTCGATTGCAAAGTGCACACGTTAATTTTAGAAATTGGAATCGAGACTGCTTTTATTGAAATACAACAGACAAAACTGAGTAGATACTAAAGGTATTTCCTAAGTGGAAAACTATGAAAAAGATAGTACACAATAGTTACGTAGCATCAAATTGCCATGGACGGTTAAGCATGTCCTGCCTTGGTACAACTATAAAATCAGGTTTGTATTGTTACATTACACACCACGTGCCCCGAATAAAAAAATGACACGGCCGCTTCGATTTGTGTGGGAATAAAATTTGATTTAAGGATCAGTACCACATATATTTAGGTGAATAAAACCGGTTAATTCTGCTAGACGGACTCTTTAAAACTTTTATGCCTGAATAACTATGTATATACACCTGTCGAAGTTATCCAAACCTGTTAAGCTAATCTTTTGATCGTTTCTACATATAATTAGGCTATTTCGTCACATTTTGATGTCAGATTTCCATATTCACGCTCACTTTTATTTTTTATGTCATGTTCCATTAAGATTGATATGATATATAGAATGGTACGTCCGTTGAAACTACCCCACTTGCCTCAACGACAGACCTTATGATTTCACTCTCCCACGTTAAACGACTAGACCACTCAACCCCCACCCCGGAAGGCATTAACATGTAAAATGTTTATGAAGTATTGATATCAGGTTGTGATAATGACAACAACCTGAAACAATACAATAGGGAAATATAATTATTATTCAATTCTTTAAAAAAAAAAATACAATATTATAATGACTCCGCCAATCCTTAATTTAGACCCCTGGAAGATTAAGTAATTTAATCAGTGAGTAGCAGTGCCAGTGGTTTGTTCCGATTCAAATGATAATATCATCCATATTATGACTTAAAACCACGAGAAAATTAAAATAAACTCAAAAAGTTAAATTGTATGAATGCGACATATAGTGATAGAGATATCAATATAGTATATATATAGCAAGATGTCTTAAAACTGTATTTCATCTATCAAAAGGTTTCAATACTATAAACACATTCCCTAGGGAAATATTGTAAGAGGACAATCATATAAATAGGGGTTTCGTTAACGCACTAGAAATGTGTTTTCCCAAAATGTCTTGAAATCCTAGGTGGCCATATTATATTATGTTTCATACGAAATCCTTGGAATTTTCGGTGAGTTCTTGAAATTCCAAATTACATAGATTACCTAAAAACAATATTACGCTTTAACGCATTTAATATATTCTTTAAGTGGCATTTAGCGATCAGGGAACAAATTAACAGAACACAGTTTTTATGGGATACAATCACTAGTTTATTCTAAAAGCACGACGTTTCGACAAGTATCCTCTTATCGTTATCAAGCACATAAGAGGATACTTGTCGAAACGTCGTGCTTTTAGAATAAACTAGTGATTTTATCCCATAAAAACTGTGTTCTGTTAATTTGCATTTAATATAACCCAAAATAATAACATTACATGAATTACGTTAAGTAAGCCAACAGTCGTTAATTTAACAATAGAAGTAATTTATCCAATTAGGCCAATTGCTGTATTATATGTAAGATAGTAGCGGAGATTAACTTTATATGGACAAGATATAAAGCGATGATCTTAATCCATTAGTAGATATTAATCTGTTGTTGTTTCCTATGAAATGGCGTTGTCAACCAAACTTGGTATGGGTTTAACTAGAGGGTAATCGGAACGCAACAAATATCACTTTAGTGTTCAAGTTTGAATGACCATATCCTTGGAAAGTACCCAGATCTATACTTCTCAGTATTGGTAAGTCTGTTTTAAAATAAGATGTGGTTATATTCTACAGCATCGAGATTACATATTCCTTAATCAGAGGGACGTTCAGTTTAGTTCTATTACTAGAAAACTATATTTCGTTGTGTTCGTTTAATAATGTTTACAAGAAATGATTTGTACTAGAAACTTGGATGTTATCTGTGCATGCCAGAGAGCGCTCGTGTGAAAGAGAGAGAGAGAGAGAGAGAGAGGGGAGAGAGAGAGAGAGAGTAACGTGTGTACGACAAAACTCTGCCATTTCGGAAATAGCATATGGTAAATTTTATTTCAACAATTCGCATGGGCGTAGGCGTCGTTAGCACCGGGAGGAAACCGGAAGACCCGTAGGAAATAGACCACTCGACCACCCAGTCCCCACGCACCTAAGCAATATTACACTAATTGTTCGTGCTATATTTTTATTTTATTTAACTTATTTTACGTAATCATGTGGTTTCTGGGGTTTATTTTAATGAGAAATATGTATGTCTATAATCGAAAATAGTTTTGAAAATGAATAATTAATCTTACTTAAAATCATTCTTCTTAAAACAAATTGCCATATGAAATAAATGCATCTTGAGACCTTCGGCAAATTGTGTTTACTTAAAACTGCACCGAAAAAAATATCTTGTTTCGCACATTCTCCGGGGTTACCCTCCCCAACCCATTCCCTTTATGATCGATCTGATGAAGAAAGCTAATTACAATTATCTGTATTATATTATAATCCATGTTAATTTCGCCGATCTGGCAACTATAGTTACACGCTGAACAGATTGATCTCATATCGATAATAAGACTATTGTTATCAATGTATTAGGTTTAACGATTAGACAGATTACTGATTGCACTTTTCTCACAAACAAGAACGGATTATGTAACATTGTCCACTAGGAATCACCTGTTTCGGCCTTTTCGTGATTATTTAAAATTAGCGATACATGCTGGGTAGTTATTTGTGTTAACTAACTGTTGATAGTCTATTCAATAACCCAACTAACATGCTTCGGACATAGGCTTCCCTCAAACCTTTGCGATCGCCCCAATGAGCATAGAAGTCATATGGATGCTCATAGGTTTGGTTGAATTCTAAACACTACTACATTATGTTATTTTCAGTTAAAATGGATGAAGCAGTAATTATGCGGGTGTTAGTGGTTTTATTTTTTATGTCATTGACTATAAATGGTAAGTCTTTTTTTATCATCTATTATTCCATTGACCTTTGCTAGTTAAAGAATATTTTGTCCCTCGGTTAAATTTTTTTATATAACTTAAAGGGGCATGGCTCTATTCCTTGGGATCCTAAATAGATGAAGTACATATTAATGTAATGTATAGAGATTTATATTCAATTTAAAAATAAATGATTGTAATGTCTAATCAATTATGTTCGGCGAACCACCGGTCCAATTTGAACGACAGTCGTTTGTGCCAGCTTAGTCCATTCTAAGCGTTTTTAGTATTATTATTTTGTCATTTACGAAACAGTTATTACTAATTACTTCCGCATTGTCTTGTAGGATATGTTATTTTCGTTTTCAGTACAAATGGCCTACGAAACCATAGAATACACGATTTATGTACTGATTATAAAATGTTCATTCTGTCTTAAATATTGCATATTAGGGTTCCATATTTTCACGGCAAGATAACAACAACAATATATATTGGAATGGACCAATATTGAATTCTAATTCGTGTTTTTAATTTCAAATATTATGGAAAATATTACGTTAAAGTTTTAGCTCCTTTAATTATGGTGCGTTTAGTCAATATCTCAAACAGCCAATAACAGGTCTAGTCTAATTTAGGACTTGTGAATTTTTTTTTATATCATAGAGGAGAATTTTCCAGCTTGAAAAAGTATGAACTTTATGTTTGTAGGTACCAATGCCACAAGTTCAACAATCACAACAAGTACCGTTCCAAGTTCAACAATAGCTTCATATGTTAGTGAAAGTGTGGCTTCAAGTTCAACAACGGCGTCATCTGTTACTGCAAGTATATTTTCAAGTTCAACAACGGTATCATCGGTTACTACAAGCATGGTTTCAAGTTCAACAAGTATAGTTCCAAGTTCAACAGTGGCGTCATCGGTTACTGCAAATATAGTTCCTAGTTCTACAACGGCGTCCTCGGTTACAGCAAGTATGGTTCAAAGTTCAACAACGGCGTCTTCAGTTACTGCAAGTATGGTTCAAAGTTCAACAACGGCGTCATCAGTTAGTGCAAGTACAGTTCCAAGTTCAACAGTGGCGTCATCGGTTACTGCAAGTATAGTTCCTAGTTCTACAACGACGTCATCGGCTACTGCAAGTATAGTTCCAAGTTCAACAATGGCGTCATCTGTTACTGCAAGTATGGTTCCAAGTTCCACAACAGTGTCATCAGTTAGTGCAAGTACAGTTCCAAGTTCCACAACGGCGTCATCGGCTACTGCAAGTATAGTTCCAAGTTCAACAACGGCGTCATCGGCTACTGCAAGTATAGTTCCAAGTTCAACAATGACGTCATCTGTTACTGCAAGTATGGTTCCAAGTTCCACAACGGCGTCATCAGTTAGTGCAAGTACAGTTCCAAGTTCCACAACGGCGTCATCGGTTACTGCAAGTATAGTTCCAAGTTCAACAACGGCGTCATCGGCTACTGCAAGTATAGTTCCAAGTTCAACAACGGCGTCTTCAGTTACTGCAAGTATAGTTCCTAGTTCTACAACGGCGTCATCGGCTGCTGCAAGTATAGTTCCAAGTTCAACAATGGCGTCATCTGTTACTGCAAGTATGGTTCCAAGTTCCACAACGGCGTCATCGGCTACTGCAAGTATAGTTCCAAGTTCAACAATGGCGTCATCTGTTACTGCAAGTATGGTTCCAAGTTCCACAACGGCGTCATCAGTTAGTGCAAGTACAGTTCCAAGTTCCACAACGGCGTCATCGGTTACTGCAAGTATAGTTCCAAGTTCAACAACGGCGTCATCGGCTACTGCAAGTATAGTTCCAAGTTCAACAACGGCGTCTTCAGTTACTGCAAGTATAGTTCCTAGTTCTACAACGGCGTCATCGGCTGCTGCAAGTATAGTTCCAAGTTCAACAATGGCGTCATCTGTTACTGCAAGTATGGTTCCAAGTTCCACAACGGCGTCATCGGCTACTGCAAGTATAGTTCCAAGTTCAACAATGGCGTCATCTGTTACTGCAAGTATGGTTCCAAGTTCCACAACGGCGTCATCAGCTACTGCAAGTATGGTTCCAAGTTCCACAACGGCGTCATCGGTCACTGCAAGTATAGTTCCAAGTTCAACAGTGGCGTCATCGGTTACTGCAAGTGTAGTTCCAAGTTCAACAGTGGCATCATCGGTTACCGTTACGAGTTCAACAATGGCGTCATCTGTTACTGCAAGTATGGTTCAAAGTTCTACAATGGCGTCATCTGTTACCGCAAGTATGGTTCAAAGTTCAACAACGGCGTCATCTGTTACTGCAAGTATGGTTCCAAGTTCAACAATGGCGACATCTGTTACTGCAAGTATGGTTCCAAGTTCAACAATGGCGACATCTGTTACTGCAAGTATGGTTCAAAGTTCAACAACGGCGTCATCGGTTACTGCAAGTATAGTTCCAAGTTCAACAGTGGCGTCATCGGTTAATGCAAGTATAGTTCCTAGTTCTACAACGGCGTCATCGGCTACTGCAAGTATAGTTCCAAGTTCAACAATGGCGTCATCTGTTACTGCAAGTATGGTTCCAAGTTCAACAATGGCGTCATCTGTTACTTCAAGTATGGTTCAAAGTTCTACAACGGCGTCATCGGCTACTGCAAGTATAGTTCCAAGTTCAACAATTGCGTCATCTGTTACTGCAAGTATGGTTCCAAGTTCAACAATTGCGTCATCTGTTACTGCAAGTATGGTTCCAAGTTCAACAATGGCGTCATCTGTTACAGCAAGTATGGTTCCAAGTTCAACAATGGCGTCATCTGTTACTGCAAGTATGGATCCAAGTTCAACAATGGCGTCATCTGTTACAGCAAGTATGGTTCAAAGTTCAACAGTGGCGTCATCGGTTACTGCAAGTATAGTTCCTAGTTCTACAACGGCGTCATCGGCTACTGCAAGTATGGTTCCAAGTTCAACAGTGGCGTCATCGGTTACTGCAAGTATAGTTCCTAGTTCTACAACGGCGTCATCGGTTACTGCAAGTATGGTCCCAAGTTCAACAATGGCGTCATCTGTTACTGCAAGTATGGTTCCAAGTTCAACAATGGCGTCATCTGTTACTGCAAGTATGGTTCCAAGTTCAACAGTGGCGTCATCGGTTACTGCAAGCATTGTTCCTAGTTCTACAACGGAGTCATCGGTTACTGCAAGTATGGTTCAAAGTTCAACAATGGCGTCATCTGTTACTGCAAGTGTGGTTCCAAGTTCAACAATCGCGTCATCTGTTACTGCAAGTATAGTTCCTAGTTCTACAACAGCGTCATCGGCTACTGCAAGTATAGTTCCAAGTTCTACAACGCCGTCATCGGCTACTGCAAGTATAGTTCCAAGTTCAACAATGGCGTCATCTGTTACTGCAAGTATAGTTCCTAGTTCTACAACGGCGTCATCGGCTACTGCAAGTATAGTTCCAACTTCAACAATGGCGTCATCTGTTACTGCAAGTATGGTTCCAAGTTCAACAATGGCGTCATCTGTTACTTCAAGTATGGTTCAAAGTTCTACAACGGCGTCATCGGCTACTGCAAGTATAGTTCCAAGTTCAACAATTGCGTCATCTGTTACTGCAAGTATGGTTCAAAGTTCAACAATGGCGTCATCTGTTACTGCAAGTATGGTTCCAAGTTCAACAATGGCGTCATCTGTTACTTCAAGTATGGTTCAAAGTTCTGCAAGTATAGTTCCAAGTTCAACAATCGCGTCATCTGTTACTGCAAGTATGGTTCCAAGTTCAACAGTGGCGTCATCGGTTACTGCAAGCATTGTTCCTAGTTCTACAACGGCGTCATCGGTTACTGCAAGTATGGTTCAAAGTTCAACAATGGCGTCATCTGTTACTGCAAGTATGGTTCCAAGTTCAACAATGGCGTCATCTGTTACTGCAAGTATAGTTCCTAGTTCTACAACGGCGTCATCGGTTACTGCAAGTATGGTTCCAAGTTCAACAATAGCGTCATCTGTTACTGCAAGTATGGTTCCTAGTTCAACAGTGGCGTCATCGGTTACTGCAAGCATAGTTCCTAGTTCTACAACGGCGTCATCGGTTACTGCAAGTATGGTTCAAAGTTCAACAATGGCGTCATCTGTTACTGCAAGTATGGTTCCAAGTTCAACAATGGCGTCATCTGTTACTGCAAGTATGGTTCAAAGTTCAACAACGGCGTCATCGGCTACTGCAAGTATAGTTCCTAGTTCATCAATGGCGTCATCTGTTACTGCAAGTATGGTTCAAAGTTCAACAACGGCGTCATCGGTTACTGCAAGTATAGTTCCAAGTTCAACAGTGGCGTCATCGGTTACTGCAAATATAGTTCCTAGTTCTACAACGGCGTCATCGGCTACTGCAAGTATAGTTCCAAGTTCAACAATGGCGTCATCTGTTACTGCAAGTATGGTTCCAAGTTCAACAATGGCGTCATCTGTTACTTCAAGTATGGTTCAAAGTTCTACAATGGTGTCATCGGCTACTGCAAGTATAGTTCCAAGTTCAACAATGGGGTCATCTGTTACTACAAGTATGGTTCCAAGTTCAACAATGGCGTCATCGGTTACTGCAAGTATGGTTCAAAGTTCAACAACGGCGTCATCGGCTACTGCAAGTATAGTTCCTAGTTCAACAATGGCGTTATCTGTTACTTCAAGTATGGTTCAAAGTTCAACAACGGCGTCATCGGTTACTGCAAGTATGGATCCAAGTTCAACAGTGGCGTCATCGGTTACTGCAAGTATAGTTCCTAGTTCTACAACGGCGTCATCGGCTACTGTAAGTATAGTTCCAAGTTCAACAATGGCGTCATCTGTTACTGCAAGTATGGTTCCAAGTTCAACAATGGCGTCATCTGTTACTTCAAGTATGGTTCAAAGTTCTGCAAGTATAGTTCCAAGTTCAACAATGGCGTCATCTGTTACTGCAAGTATGGTTCCAAGTTCAACAATGGCGTCATCTGTTACTGCAAGTATAGTTTCTAGTTCCACAACGGCGTCATCGGTTACTGCAAGTATGGTTCCAAGTTCAACAATGGCGTCATCTGTTACTGCAAGTATGGTTCCAAGTTCAACAGTGGCGCCATCGGTTACTGCAAGCATAGTTCCTAGTTCTACAACGGCGTCATCGGTTACTGCAAGTATGGTTCAAAGTTCAACAATGGCGTCATCTGTTACTGCAAGTATGGTTCCAAGTTCAACAATGGAGTCATCTGTTACTGCAAGTATGGTTCAAAGTTCAACAACGGCGTCATCGGCTACTGCAAGTATAGTTCCTAGTTCAACAATGGCGTCATCTGTTACTGCAAGTATGGTTCAAAGTTCAACAACGGCGTCATCGGTTACTGCAAGTATAGTTCCAAGTTCAACAGTGGCGTCATCGGTTACTGCAAGTATAGTTCCTAGTTCTACAACGGCGTCATCGGCTACTGCAAGTATAGTTCTAAGTTCAACAATGGCGTCATCTGTTACTGCAAGTATGGTTCCAAGTTCAACAATGGCGTCATCTGTTACTTCAAGTATGGTTCAAAGTTCTACAATGGCGTCATCGGCTACTGCAAGTATAGTTCCAAGTTCAACAATGGGGTCATCTGTTACTACAAGTATGGTTCCAAGTTCAACAATGGCGTCATCGGTTACTGCAAGTATGGTTCAAAGTTCAACAACGGCGTCATCAGTTAGTGCAAGTACAGTTCCAAGTTCCACAACTGCAAGTATAGTTACAAGTTCAACAATGGCGTCATCGGTTACTGCAAGTATAGTTCCTAGTTCTACAACGGCGTCATCAGTTACTGCAAGTATGGTTCAAAGTTCAACAACGGCGTCTTCAGTTACTGCAAGTATAGTTCCTAGTTCTACAACGGCGTCATCAGTTACTGCAAGTATAGTTCCTAGTTCAACGACAGCGTCATCAGTTACTACAAGTATGGTTTCGAGTTCAACAACGACGCTATCTGTTACTACAAGTGTATATCCAAGTTCAACAACGGCTTCATCTGTTACTGCAAGCATAATTCCAAGTTCAACAATGACGTCGTCGGTTACTACAAGTATGGTTTCAAGTTCAACAATAGCGTCATCGGTAACGACAACTACAGCTATGTACAATACAACAACTACCTCAACACCTCCACAACAGGTTAGTTATCGACTACTTTGTTTCAATTGTATTTATTATTTTTATCAAATGGACAAGTCTGCGATAGGAATTCAATTTTATGTATTATCATAATCTATATATCCTGCTCTAGTAAAGTTTTAAAAAAAAAATAAACTGTTACACCTCTTTAGTGGTTTTTTTTGTGCGATATCAAAGTGTGAAATTGACCCTGACAAATCTTCGCCAGGAATTTAATTGTTTTTATTCATATAATTTATATAACCTGCTCTTCTAATATTATTGTTTAGCGGTTTCTTTTGGTAACATTTCAATGTATGCCATTTACCCTCACTCAACAAAGACAAGCGTTCAAAGGAACGATACATATACTTATTGTCTAACAGAATTAGAAAGAAATTTATAATGTTTACACGATCCAAACTGTATACTGCTTTCAAAATAGATGGTGTTCCCGACGTAATGATTTTTTTTTATCTTCAGCTGGTATGCCATAACGTAACATGTATTTCAAGTGGTTGTTTACAAGACTTCATAATTTCAAGAAACTCATCTACGTGTATCTCTACTGGTTCGTGTTTGGTAAGGGACAAATTATTAAATTATTATGAATTTTAAATATATTGATATCCCACGTCCATTTTGATAATAACCACAGCGTCAAAATTTTGCTTCATGTCAAAAACAACCGGTGGCCACGGTAGTTTAGTGGGTAGGAAGCTAGAGCACGAAGCAGGGGGTCCAGGATTGGATCCAGTTGTTCCCGATATAGTTCCTTGGCATTTCCAATGTAGAGTCCCATTGTTGGTAATGAAAGAAGGAGGTCTGGACAATTATCGGCATCTAGTCTTTCGAATGGTACGAAAAATGGAGTTTCCGTGCACACCTTGATGTGCATGTAACATAACCCTTGGTAGCACGACGAAGAGCAAATGTAAACAGCACACCACGTTACTTAATGACAGGTCTTACGAGTAATTATTTATTGTTATGGTAATTTTGTAATTCATAATTTTAATAATTTTTCAGATTCGACAGGTTACGAATGGTAATTTTACACAAATAGAAGCTAATTGTGATGCGAGAACATCGTGTACATGGGAGAAGATATCTGGAGGTCTTTTAGAGGAAACGTCGGCATGCTGTACCACAAATAAATGTAATACGGAGTCTTACTTAAATTCATCTGCAGTATCTTTATGCTCAACGTTTAGTGTATTATTATTTACACTTTTGATGGCCAAAGTTTAAATTGATAACTGACAAGTGTAGCTAAAATAACATTGTGTTGTTAGTGGATACCGCGCACAACTTTGACTTGGCTATCCCAAATTGGACGCTTGCGTACCAGTTTAAAATTGTTATGTTATTACTAGATTCACAAATTATCCACCACCCCCACACACACACACCGCTAGAGTATATCCATAGTTACGCTATAAATTCATTTCAAGATGGCACTGACACCTAATGTGCGATCTAACAAATGACGCCACCAACCGAACCTGTTGTACTGGTCAACAGAAATACGGTGATGACGCAAATTAAAGGGCCTTTGGTAATCGACGGAAATCCCCGCCCTATCCCCCACCTCCACCCTAAAACCTCCTTCCTGGATTGGTTGCTGCAGAATATAACGCTAGAATGTATCCATAGTTACGCTATAAAGTCATTTCAATATGGCACTGACACCTGCTGTGCGATCTAACAAATGACGCCACCAACCGGAAATGTTACGTCTGACATATTCCAGATGAGAATCGCAAACAATTAATGACCCCCTTGTGCAATATTGTACATTATCATTTTCGTTCTTCTCACAATTAAAGTTTGTGCGTGTTACGAAAGGTTTGTTGAAATTATACGGGTTTCTGAAGGTTAAACTGAGACTTCATTTTCAGAATGACTATTTATAATTTCATAATTTCTACGTATTCGCGTGCTTCTACGTGATTCGTTATAATAATATATACGTCACCATATCCTGTTATATTGGTCTATACGTCAGCATATGCTCATTATATTAGTGTGTACATCGCCATATGATAGTCTACACGTCACCATATGCTCGTTATAATAGCGTATTCGTTCGTCACTGATGCTCGTTATAATGTATACGCCAACACCATGCGCTTGTTTCAAATACCTTAAGCTTTCTCTCTGTTCATCAAGTCTAATAGAAAAAAATCAGACATTTTGGACTTAATGTATCCGTCCATTGACAGAATCCTTGTGTTACTTGTATATTAATAATGTATATAAAATGTACATAAAAAAACATAATTATTTATTCATTTTATATTTTCCTTGTAGTTTGTTTTTTGTTTGATAAATAAACCTATTTTGTTACAAAGGTGTTCAGATTTAATATAACAGTGTCATTGTGTGTCAGGGAGTTTAATACCAGAGCCCAAGGCTCTATGTAAAATCGACCAGTGTGCCCTAAAATGGTTCATCTGTTTCTAACACTACCATATCTATCAATAATATGGCGTTCCCATACTCAAAATGTTTTTACCAGATTTGTTTATTGTGTGTGTGTAGCCATGAACACAATATTTAGTTTGACGTTTTAATTGGGGTCTCTAGGAAGACTTTTTTAAAATTTAATAGCCGCCATCTTTATGATATCTGTCTATTATTTTGATAAAGAAATAGGTGGACCACCCACATTAAAGATGCATTATGTAAGACTAAGAGCTCAGACTACCGATTGCAGGTCTCTGTGTTTGCTTTAAGTCATATATAAACTATTATTTAGGCATTTATTCACATGACAAGCCTATAATCAACTCTATAGATCATCGGAAGGCCGAGATTTTACGATAATAAAAAGTTTATGCTACATCTTCAGTCACTCATAACTTTGCTCAGAATAAAGTAATAATGTAATTTCAATGAAATTTTCATTATTTTTAATTTCCACTATCTATGTTTAAACTATTATAGCAAGAAAGGCCAGCTCGTTGTCTAATGTTTAAATAATGCATCTTTAAGTACTGATCATGTATCTCATGTTATTTCTATGATACAATTGGCCGGGTCGGTGTAATACGTGAAAAATACAAGTACGCGCGTACTAAGTACCACGAATCGTCGTGAAATGGAATGAAATGAAATGGGGTTTAACGTCCTACTGTTCTGCTCCGATTGGGCTACTGAAGACGGACATACACCATACAGTGTGCTACGAGGGAAATTTTGCCCGGACAGCGGCACTACGGTCTACTCTTATATCGAATTCCAACTGTCAAGAGATCTTTTACGTGCACGCCAATGTGTACAGGGGACCTCGGTTTTTCGTTCCATCCGAACGACTAGACAGTTGTCCTTGTATCACTGACAAGGGGGAACCACGCCGGAAAATCTGGATGAACTTTCTAGGCCAATGCAGGGATCAAACACCCGACCTCCAGGCTAACTTAGCCACCGTGACCCCACGAATCGTCGTAGCAATCTTTCAATTGTTGACGCAACCCATACACAATTTCCAAGGAAGAAGCATGCCGGCTCAGACAAATTCATTTTATAACATTTTCTTGACTTGGTAAACTTGCAACTTTGACATTCGATTGGCTTCTTTCCTTGGCTTAATGAATAACGTGGAGGTTTGAAAAAGTTCGTCGAGGGAGAGATGCGGACTATACCATTTATCATGGTCAAAAAGGCCTACTTTTCATATTCCAGGTGAATACACAACCGACTCTTTAATTGTTATACTACAGGAATACCCAGTAACCTAAATAATGCTACATTCAAATAGGTGGTGTTTATGAGAAAAATAGATGACAGTAATTGACATTTATATGTAACAGATAATGTTGACAGATCATGCTAACATTAGAGAAAGGGCTTTCATAAAAGTCGTGATTCTTTATAATTGCATTTGCTACTTTATGTCAATAAGAGCACCCTTCATTCATTCTTCATTAGTTTCAGTAAAATTGACTTAGAAAAGGATTTAGAAAAATCGGTTTATGAATGTTCTTTCATCCTTTGCTTATAAATGTCACCTTCGCTCTAAAGCGCTAAAACGTCTATTTTTGTAGATTGTGACATACATGTAATTTGATGTTTTCCAAGAATCTTGTTTTTTTTTTATATTACGTGGAATGTTAAAGGATATCATCAGAACTATCGGTTGTTGATATCAGAACAAGTGTACTAAGTCGTTATTTTTCGCTGAAGGATGTAAGTTGAGAACTAAAATCAAAGGGATCTCAACTCTTATAACTATGTACTTTAATGGACCTTATGATGATACGTAAACGTAAGATACCTAAATACAACAGTACAACCCCCAAAATACTAACCAGCTGTTCTAGAAAGAGTACACAGTCTTTGCCTCTGCTAACTCGTATGAACCTGGGGCCTGTTTCACGAAATTGTAACTAAAGATAAAATCCAAATTTTAGTAGATACTTCAATCTTGATTGGCCAAGCACTAAAATCAATCTAATATAATCCAATCAAATTACTAAAATTTGGTTTTATCTTAGTTAAAATTTGGTGAAACAGGCCCCAGGTTTTAAAAGCGAACTAATTTTCGAATTAGTTTATAAGCATCTAAGGTGGGGTTATTGATAATCACGGTGTATACGATTAAAGATTACATAGTTAATAATGTATTTATGAATAACGATTACCTCGTTGAAGTATTGATAGTCTAATCCTATTCCTAACTCCATAGTCCATCGAAGCTAGCGAGTGCCCATTGTGCTTGTTTATTATACAGAGCGTGCCAATAAAATATACTCTGGTTAGGAATAACCTTTTCCTAATAATAGACATACCCGTTGGAAGTGACCTCAGAAAAGTAAGGGAAATAACTCCATATTGCTTAATTGGACTGGTAAATCTCTAATGTAACATAGTTTTGTTAATTTCAATGATCTTTATCTTAATAACCTCAAAGTGCCCAAACAGGTCATAGTTATTTTATTCAATTAGGCTTGACAAATTACTAATATATAGACGAGTAAGAAATAGTCTATCAGTACGACTTTTGGTGATGAGATCTGGGCCCTGTTTCACAAAAACTTAAATCTCCTTAAAATCGTCTTAAAACTAAAATTTCATCCTAAGTCAAGATTGATGAGTTCCGCAAAACTATTTTAATCATTTTAAATAAAATCCAGTAATAATATTCTAAGTTAAATTTTTATCTTAACTCAAAACAGTGGCGTTTCACAAACCTATTTTAGGGACAATTTTAACTAAATGAAATGAAATGAAATGGAGTTTAACGTCCTACTGTTCTGCTCAACTTTGGACAACCGTCACCCTCTCCTAACTTAAATCAAGAAATAAATAAACATTGATTAGGGCTACGTTGTTAGATCTATAGTTTTAACATACCATCATTCACAAAACAATTTTCATTCAATTTCATTTCATAGCATGGGAAATACAGCTACGGTCCATCCGTTTATTTTATTGCAAAGCAATTTAATCATTTAGATGACGTTCCAAATTAGACCCCCCACCCCCACCCTGTCCAAAAAAAAAAGCGGTTGCCAGGCAAGATACGACAATATTTTGCAAGGGATGGATAGAGAATAAGCTAAAATGAAAAGCGATTTTTCGTAAAGTCAGGGGCCATAATCCAGAAAGTTGTGGTCTGAAGTGCGCAAATATCGACACAAACTGAGATTTTTGGGATATAAAGATATATTTTAGGTTTCATCAAAATCGGATAAAAATTGTGATCTCTAGAGGGTCCACAACCTTCGTATTACATACTCTTACATACTTTGCGTACAAAGAGTGACCATTTTGTAGTGCAGTTCGTTTCAATAACAATTGTGACTTCTAGAGGGTCAACAACCTTGGTATGACATACTTTTACACTATTTGCGTACACGGAGCCGTCATGTTGTTTCGCAGTTTTGGTCCGATTTTCACGAAATGCGAACTCAAGTCATTAGAGTGTAACGGTTATATATCCAAACAGTTAAAAACGCGATGTAGTTTATCGATACGCATTATTTCCATGAAACCCGCGAGTACATCAAATGTCAAGGTCACGAAAGAAGCATGCAAGTTCAGTCCCAACCCACCGATACATTTCGAAATGTATATACATATGTCATCTCTCTACAACTGCCTGACCATGTACAAACATTGCTACAACGTATGAACCCCCGTTGATATTGTAACCGTTAATTCAACCTGCCAACAATTTTCAGTTCCGAAGCGTATTTGCTTACACCTTAAGTGCCCACACCGGAAATGTGCACTGCGCTCGCACAAGCAATTTTAACTAAAATCTATTTAAACTGCAGTTTAAGTTACAATCGATCTTCGTGAAACGCATAAAATTTCATTTTGATTTTAGTTAAAATTTATTTTAGTGATTTTAGTACAGGGCCCTGATGTGTATATACCAAGGTCTAAGCAAAATGGCCATCCTTTAAAAGAGACAACCCCAGAATATTGGCAAAAATGTCTACCATTCTAATGTGTAGAATATCCATAATAAGAATTTAAAATCAATGCAATATCACTATGGTAAATCTATGCGGTGGTGTTTTGTGGGTTAATTGGATTGGCCGACCAGTGATCCTTGCTTAATATATTTCAATTATTCTGGGAGTTATTGTCATTATCTCGCTAACCTGGAAACTATTGAAATTATGTTTTCTATTACTTGTGAGTTTACATTTCCGATCGCTGGTTAATTATTCACAGCATCATGCCACCCAATACTTTAAAGCAGCCAAGTCACATTTGTTTAAAACTTGCTGAGATTATCAACCATGTTAATAAATTGTAATGGAATACAATATTTCTAATGGTGGAAGGTTCTAAAATATGTTTATTTCAAAACTTAGAAATGGTGATATTGAAATACTGCAGTTTGCAGTTGCTACGTACAGACATTTTAGACAGTCAGACTACAGCACTGCTTCCAAAGATGTTGCAATTACAGAAAACATTAAGGCACGTAATGAATAATTCCGTGATCTATCTAATGGCTTGCATGTAACTATCAAGATTCATGAGGATGGGTTCAGTTTCCTTCAATTATACGCTTTTAGCTAAGACATTAATGAAAACATTGCGCGGTTATCAAAAGAAGGCAAACTTTAAAGAAAGATATCAAGAGAAGCTTGACAAACACAAACTCCATATGTTCCACTTAATGACTGTCTGTGAATACTAATGACTCTGTTTTATCTAATCGATATGTCATCTTTGCATGGTTTCGTATTTTTATCTTAAGGGACGTAACTCATCTAAACTCAACAAATTACAAATTCACGCATTCATTGCACTTGGTTTGTGTCTTTCTCTTAAGGGACGTAACTCATCTAAACTCAACAAATTACAAATTCAACCATTTATTGCCGACTAAAAGAAATCGAATAACATTTTACAAAAAATGACAAATAAAGATGAAAGAATAAGATGTAATAAAGGCGTTTGGTGTTGAGTTGAATTGCAAGCATCGTCATTACAGGTATGGAAACACACATTGGTCAAACTACCTTCCTCCATTTGGTGTGGTCTACAGCTATTCTTTATGCTGTAATCAGCCCCACACATTCTTATAACCAGCGTGCCTAAAATACACAAACAATCAGTTTTTTTTAATTATCTTCTGGAAGAAATATTTAACGTGGATGGAAGGACCCATTTTTACATATACCCACCAACAACAAAGTCAGCCTTTGTCATGTTTTAAGTTTACGGGATGTGGGATGGTCGGGAATCCCACGCCTTTAGCAACGGTGTGTTGACAATCTCTGTGTTATTGTACATGATATAAGTTAAATAGCAAATAAGATCAGACGCGCATCCCACGAGATGTGCTCCAGAATAATAATTGCATACCAAACATATGTCAACTGTGCTTCTAGAGAAACACACAAATTATTCAAATGAGAATATTCGAATTAGCATATGGCACAACTATTGTAATAGGTCGATGTGTGGTCAAAGTTGCATAAAGAAATATATATATACCAGCTTGTGAAATATGTTCAGGAATAATAATTGTATACCAAATACTAAATAAATCTTTTACAAATAAACACATACAATTTATAGAACCCAGAAGTTACCAAGTAGCAGAATGTTGATGTGTGCACACAGATTCATATCACGAACGGTGTTTGATAGATGCTCCAGAAACAAAACCAGGACGGACGGAAAGATGGGGGCTATTTTTATATCCCTATCCTGGTGTGACTTATTCTTGTCAGGGGTGCAGGTCTGGCGTATGCCTGTCTTCACTATCCCGGTTAGAGCAAAATAATAGGTAGTAAAACACCTTTATTCATTCATGCTCCGGAATAGTAACTATACTAAAAACTACCTAAATTTATTACCAATAAACACAAAATTTATTCAACCCAGAAGTTATAATAAGTAGCAAAAGGCCCATCTGCTAGGTTGGTGTATGTACACAGTTTCGTTAAATATATCTTAAACGTGGTTTGGTGTTCCAAAAATAAAGCCTGTACGAAAGGAAATATGGGACCAATTTCTTCTTGTCGATCAACCCTTAGATGTGTGGCAACTTCTAACCGTGGAATATTTTATAATTGATATTAGCAAACGTGTAGTCGTGTACGGTGAAATATAAAGGTTGATATGAGACGAGTTCCAAAACATATTTTTATTACTTACATATTTATTTTTGAGTTTCGAACTAACATTTCATATCTAATTGTAATATCTTAATCTTCACAGAAAGAGAGAGAAATGGGGTTTAACGTCCACTCGACACAAACTAGGTCATTTCGGGACGAACATATGGGGTTTTTTTTTGTTTAATTTTATTTACATACTTCGCTTGCGCGTAGGGGTCTTTAGCAGTGGGAGGAAACCGGAGGACCCGGAGAAAACCCACGAGGTTGGACAGGCGACCCTACTCCTTGCCACATACAACCGGGGATTCGAAACCACGCCAGTCGACTCAATGACAGACTTTATGATACAGCGCGCGCACGCTAACCATTCAGCCACCCAACCCCCCAATCTTCACAGAAATATGGTTTACATTTTTATGCACACTATTGAAGGTTCAAAAGATATTGTGGCAAAAATACGGGGAATAAACCAATGCATCAAGAACAATAATAAATCTTGGCTAATAAGACTCGTTTTTTAGAGTTTGGAAACTTTTGTGTCATATTTACATTAATTTGCTCATATACTTTCATTCAGGGTTGAAACTATGAACACACCTTGGGTCACTAGAGAAATTTATCTCTTTCTTCTTCATGTTGTATCGACGTTAATTTAATATTATTCCCTTTAGACACCACAATGTCACCTCATTACGTATCCAAGTAAGTTCAACCTATGATTCCGAGTATCATTGACGGTTATATCATTATATCTAAACAGATTGAAAAATAAACGTATAACAGCATTTCCCATTTGTCACAGTCCAATTATAGAGTAACTCTATCTGAATTAGTTTAATGTAATTTCCCTAATGGGTAGAAATGTTGGGACTTTGGTATTGACCCATCGTAACGAAACGAATATACTTCATGGCAATTTATTCGACATTCGTGAAATGCAAGGAAGCACCAACGACACGGTAAGCTTTCCCTTTTGTACAAAAAAGACTCTAGCCATTCATTGAATAAATGAAATGAAATGAAATGAAATGGAGTATAACGTCCTACTGTTTTGCTCCGAACTGGGCTAATGAAGACGGGCATACGCCATACAGTGTGCCATGAGGGAAATTTTGCCCGGACAGCGGCACTACGGCCTACACACATCGAATTCCAACTCTGAAGGGATCTTTTACGTGCACGCCAATGTACATGGGACCTCGGTTTTTCGTATCATTCGAATGACTAGACAGCTGTCCTTGTCAGGCCCTCCGTCCTGCATCAGTGACAAGGGGGAACAACGCCGGAACATTCATTGAATAAGCACGAGCGTACTATATGGGCCAGGGACCGATCATGACTTTATCGTAACCATAATGTCCAAGGAACGTAATCGTGTCAACTGTAATGCCGATCGCACTTGAATTTGAATTGGCGGAGGCTTAGGCGGTTTTATTTTTCGCAGAGGGCTTGGCCCCCCACCCCCTCTTAGGAGGAACAACAAGATTAGTAGCGTTTGTGGACCAGTTCCCCGTCCAAAATATATAATGCTAGGTCCCCACTGTCGAGCGATGCGTTGCGACAGGATTATCCCTATTGAGTCCTCGATCTGGTGCGTGCAGATAGGTTCGGATACGTTTCGATACGATCAACACGACTGCTACGACTGACCTCAATATATGATAAGACCTGATAGGACCACCACGATTACTCCGCGATTAAAACCACGATTTCAACCTCAGCACGACTAGTGATAATGGGAACTTAGCACAAGGGAAGAAAATGAATGTTTAATGAGGAAACGGAGGTTAGTGTATTGTTCCGGTCTTTTGTACAAAAGCAAAATTGTTCAGGAAAAGTTCATTACCCAGACCTCTTTAAACTAGCTCCCTGATAGCGATCTGTACACAGTCAGACATGTATATTAATTATGCGCCGAACAATGCACAGAGAATGGAAGCACAATATTGATTTTATCGAACCTTGGACAACATCTGATTATTGTGTCATATCAGTCATTTTTAACAGAGAGACAACCCTGCCTACGGAGAAGTTTAACAGATTTCCGCAATGTAGTTACGTATGACATTGTATTATGGACAGCCTTCATTAGCCCAGTCGGTACAGAAACGTAGGACGATAAACGACATTTTATTTCATTTGTATCAAGGACTGTGCAATCAATGAGTTCAGACTGACATTAAAGTTGCAATTTCATATTTTTAAGTTATGTTTTTAAAATTTATTAAAATAAAGCCTTAAAATAGATGGTATCTATAAACAGTCCTACCTTGTTAAAGAATAATCCTATTAATCCTATAATTCACTATTGCCAGTTGAGAAATTGGCAAAAATATCATTTTCATCTTCAAATTCCAACGTTTGAAAATAACTACTCCATGGTGGAGAATAGAAAACAAGAGAGGTAATTGGGAGGTAATTGTGTTATTATTTCCTGTGTAAATGAGTTTTAAGTGGGAGAATGACACCTATGATAGTACAATATTAAGTTGACAACCTATTGAGCAAAAGACATAGAAATAATTATGTTTTGACTTTCTTAGAAAATATGAAATTGTAACTTGAAACGATAATACTATTTGATTTTGCAGATGTTGATAGGGATTAGTTTGTTATTGTGTGTTCGTTCTCTAGACGTTTCTTATTTTCCTGATCCATGAATAATCTTTCTAATAACTACAGAATTGTTGTGAAGGTAAGCCGTAAAAAACAGTAATGTGGAAGTTGCGATGACAACATCATTAATACACACAATCTTCTTTTTGTAATGTATTTAACTAAATGGACCGGAAGCGAAATGTACACAAACCAGTTTCTAATACCCCTCTGTATTGTTCTGCACTGAGTGGGCTCTATAAAACGAATTCTATATTAAAACAAATAACGGGTCTTATATGTATACTTTATATTCCGGTTAGCTAAGGTAATCAGTGGCTTACCAAGAATTTGTGATACCCGGTTCTTGCGTTTACCCCTAAACCACCACCCTGCTAATGTGTTAAAATGCCCGATACCAAAGTCTCTTATTGCACAGCTTTTCTATCATGGTTAGCACGTGCGCGCTGTATCGTAAGATCTGTCAATCAATCAACTGGCGTGGTTTCGATTACCCGGTTGTATGTTACAAAGAGTAGGGTCGCCTGTCCATTCTCGTGGGTTTTCTCTGAGTCCTCCGGTTTCCACCCACTGCTAAAGAACCCTACGCGCAATCGAATTATTGAAATAAAATTGAACCTTATGCTACACCCGAAATGACCTAGTTTGTGTCGAGTGGACGTTAAACCCCATTTCTCTCTCTCTCCATTAAATTTGTTTCGAGTAGACGTTAAACCGCATTTCTCTCGCTGTTAATTGGACCATACCCAGTTCCTTTGAAGCTGCTATGGAGCGTTCAAGCGAACCGAATTAAGGATGTCCGATTAACTCTAACATTTCTGTTTCAAACCTAAATGGTAAAATTAGCAACACAACGTAATCGACAAAATGTTATACGAGATGTTATCGCAAACGTAAAAACCTTCATCATTCTAACCATGGCCTTCTAACCATGGCCGTTTATGACATTTCATGTTCGCTCGATATTCAGCAAAAATTTCTTTCAACCGAATGGAATTTAATAACTCATTGACTTAAAGAGGCATTATTTCCTTGGAGGCGTTCCAGTCGGTAAAAATAATAATGTTTGATTTGACTAGAGTTAAAGGAAAGGTTCGAATTATATTGTGTGCAAAATTTGAGACGTAAATTTTAACTGTAAATTTACGGATGGTGACATTTTTTTTGGGTATTTTTCTAGGAACTTGGAGAACATTCATAAACAATACTATATTATTAAGTGCTTGGATTTTACTTAAACATAAATTTGGGAGAGTAGTTAAAGAGCTGGCAATTCTCACTGTGATAGTTAAAAATTAGCTAATGTAAAGGCAATTTGCTGAAGATTTCAGTCAAATTGATCCACTATGAACCGGGATTTTAGCGATTGAATATTGGGGCTAGCCTCGATTATCATACTAAAGCCGGTAGGATAAAAAAAACCATAAGTCTCGAGCTAAATCTGCCTATTTCATGTCTTTCATTAGGCCTGAAATGTTATCTAAATTATTAATTAGATATTAATTAACTTATCCAGACCATAATCAACTCTCGATGGCATCTCTAGCCTGCAGTATTTACCGGCATAGGATCCAAGTTGCTGCTCAACTTTCATTCATGAATTAATCATGAAATGGATAATCGATATTATGTTTTTTATCGTACCGACTTTTGTAATGATAATGGAGGCTAGGCCAAAAATTCAATGCTAAATTCTCGGTTTAGAATGGATCAATTTGGCTGAAATTTTCAGCAAATTCCCTTTGCATTATCTAGTTTTTAACTATTATAGTGAGAACTGTCAGCTCTTTATCTAATCTGCCATAATGTATCTTTATCTGAGTAGATATTAGCGTGGATTAAGCTGTGAGAGATTTCCTATTTTAGCTTTAAAAAAATGCAATTGACACATTTTTACCTTAAAAGGGTAAGAAGAAGATTATTCTGAATACTTTATTTTTCGAAATTAATTACATTTATTTTTTCTGTGAGATTGAAAGTGATCATGTCTGTTTAAATAGTTTAAAACGCCCGACTCGTCGGACTTTCAAATCGACTTTGGTTTAGTGGGGATTTCATGAAATGCCAATATCGTCAAAAGACATATCAGCCGAATCCTCCGTGGAGCATAACGGAGGGCGCGACAAGAAACAGCGCATAGTCTAATAAACTAACTGTGTCACACTTCTCGAAATATTTTATATGTGGTCTTCCACTTGATCATTACAAAGGTCCATCGAAGCCTATGGCTGTATTTTAAAGTTTATAAGATTATTTTGGATAATGATATAATAATGATATTATTTTCGTCATTTTAGTGTTAATCCCCTATTAATACAAAAAACAAGGACGTGATTCCAAGATACCCATCTCCATTATCCCTGTTGGAGAAGAACAGTAGGAATTTAAACCCTATTTCATTTCATTTGCATTATCCAAGAGCCTTTATTATTTAAACATTTATTCACATAATACGCCAATAATCACGCCCCTCCCCCCATGTCATCGGTTGGCGTAGATATTAAATGGATTAGAACACCTTCGCCATTTAATAATGGATATTTATTGTCGTAGCAATGATACTTGACAACCTAGGCTATCTTGTTATAACTGCGCTCAGAATAAAGTTATGTTACTGAAATTTTAACTATATTCATTTTTCATTATCTATTATAGCAAGAACTACAAGCGCTTTACCTGAATCTTACGTAATGTATCTTTAAGAAAAACGAAAACCATACAACTTTCCATTATCTATAATTAATCACCTATTCTAACAATACCTACCCTTGTTTAGAAATCCAATAGATTTTACACAAAACTTTGCTTCTTTGTGTTCACCGACACACTCTTTCGGTTCTAGATGGGCTGTTAAACAGTTAGGGTTGTCTAATGAGTTGCACTGATAACATTTTAGGCTGTTAACTGGAATATAAAAACAAAAACAAAGAAATCACTTAGACAGTGGAAATTATTCATAAAGTAAAATTTCCTTTAGGGAAATTAATTAGAAAAAAACTGTATTGGCTATATCTAACGTCTGCATCTTCATGTTAAGTTTAATTGATTGTAAGACTCATTATGGTAATTAGATACTAAAGGGAGTGGGGTATAGGGTCCACGGAACGTCGCACTGAACACAAGTAAGCCGTTTTTGGACTACCAGATGTTCGTTCCATCGTAAGTTTAATAGTGCGCTTGCACTGCCGTGCTATTTTCTACTCTTATTTCAAATCCCAACTGTCAACGATTCTTTTACGTGTACGCCAACATGTACACGGGACCTCGGATTTTCGTATACGAACAACTAGACGCTGTTCCTTGCCAGGACCCGTGTTGACCACTGACATTCTCAAGAACTCTCTGGGTCAAAACGTGGGTTTAATCCCTGAACCTCCTAGTGAGCGAGCCAACGCCAAACCCAGTCATCCACCGAGGACCCAGAGACCGAAGAACACGGGTGGAAAGCAAAAGCTTCTGATCATATACAATAGAACCCCCAACGCATAAATAGAAGACTTTGTGATCCACTGCAGCTAGACAACTCTGTCAACCGCACTCAGTTTTAATCTAGGTGGGAAGTATGAGTAAGGGAAACTTTGACAAAGCATTAGCACAAAATTTGCAGAAGGCGTAACCGTACGAGTACATGATTGATGGATGTTGTAAAACAGTTTTCTTCTGTTTTGTTGTCATGGATTACAGAACACTCTACTTGATGAATCTGTCGTTTAAAAGAACCACTGAAATATATCAAAACTCTTTATAGGTGATCTTATAAGTTGTTTTCATCAAATCAACTGACATCTCTTTTCGATAACACGTATTTTTGTGCGTGGGCAACGCCAAGTACAAGTGGTCGTCAAGTACAAGTGGTCGTCAAGGAAATTTCAATATAATATCAAATACAAAACTAATGCCCCCTTGAAGATGTCTGCATTTTTTTAAAATTTCCTTCTGAGATTCCAAGATTTTTTTAGGAAATAACTATATGATTTTCCTTAAACTACATGTATAGCGGTAAGCTAGGGTTTTGTATATAATCCTTGAAGTCATATTGATCAAAGACGAACTGAGATTCTGTTCTCTAGTAATAGACACGTAACAATATACGAAATACCCGTATGTGGCGTCTGAAACTGACCGAATAAAATTAATAATAAATTGAGGTTGTAGCCTTGTCGGGGAATCTTCACAGACAAAGACCGATAGAGCCTCTCTAGATATTTGTTGTGTACCACAACTGTCCGTTGTAAAAACCTGTTTTTGTAAGGAAGGAGGTGGGGTAATCGTTCTGTTTTCTTGTGGTTAGAACTTTCCCCTTTTTTTCTGATTCCACGGGATATATCACACAATCTCCAATATAGTTATCCGAAAACGATTTAGTAAAGTTTCACACACTTGACAATTTCAAAAGTTAAAATGCATAGAGCTAACTACGACTATGACAGTTTTTATCCACATCAGACACAAAGATACGGCAAGTTTACCAGACCCGTAATGGCCGTATGCAATTGAGAACAACAAGTGGATGATTGATCTGTACTCATAGTCCGAATTAGAATTTGGTCAAGTTTATTTCGCATTTTACGACCAAACAGGTGTTATCTATTAATTACGGGACTATTAACACAAAAGATTTAAATGGTCTATCTAATTTACATTCAACTGCCGACTGGACAGTACGTGCGAGGTTGATGATATATCTGCAAAAACACGGTACTATGATGGTCCTTGCGGCTATCGACTTAAAAATAATTTCAGCTAATAATACTATAAATAGTATGCAATATGCAATTAAGATTGTTTATGCGTGCTGTTAGCCAATAGCTATTGTAAATTTAGACGGCTCTAACCAATGATAAAATAGTTGTTTGATGCACGGAGTAAAACGTCGGCCATTTTTATAAAATTTCCCCTTGATGGAATATGAAACGATGATCAAGTTGAATCTGTGAATATTTTTTAAAACTTTTTTTCTTATGTAACCACATAAATTCGACGGTCAGTTTATCTCCACTGTCGCAACCAAGAATGAAGAACGATACATTTGTGTCCATTTTATCAATTTCTAATTCAGTATTTGGTTCAGAGAACAACTGTTGAATGTAAATATATAACAGGATTCGATGCATTCTATACATAATTATTTTTTACAGCGTGATTATTATTTGTTCTTTTTTTAGATGTGCTATGGTCTTGCTTAAATGTTAATATCGTCTTGAATAATTCCTTCATGGAAGGCAGCGTCATCACTCTAACCCATTCTATTATTTACTCTTATGCTCTATTTCGTGGCATTTTACAACCAAACAGATGTTATCTATGGTTGCAGTAAAATTAACACACAATATATAAATCGGCTTCATACAGCAATGCATCTTTGTTTATGTTTTTGCGTACAGCGGTCAACTGGACCGTGTGCGAGCTTGGCATATATCGTCTGCTACAACGCGTATATCGTCAATAAAACGAAAAGAAAAATAATTTAGACATGATTTAAAATCGGTAATTTATTACGAATGCTACACACATCTTACAACAAGTATGACATTCAAGAATACGTTTTCTATTAAAAGAAAAAGACTTTTAAAAAAAAACGTTTTCATTAGCATTTACCATGTTAAGACACGTGAAAAAACGGCCAGGCTAAAAATAGACACCGGAAGTACGTCACGCGTAAAAACTCCTATAGCATATGCCCAGACATGCACTTCGAATGAAAAACTATGTCCTGAAGTTCCGGGATTGTTATATACTTATGTGTCAGTTATGTGCTAAATAAGCTCCATGTGGCTGGGAAGAAAATGTAGTGATGACAGAAGTTACTTGCTTCATTAGGATAACTGTCATTATAATTACTACAATCAACCTGGGCTTGGTGACTTATAAATAATATTGTTTATAAGCCAGGTTAGTTAGCCCATTTCATTCATTGTTTTCATGATATGGCGAACAACATCGATTTCTGAAAGCTAATTAATATAAACTAATGATATCTAGGTTGGACTTGTTAGGCCAAATTGTAAGCGTCCAAACAATCTACCAATCTCCGGATAATTAAGAGTCTGGTTAATCGCGTAACCGGACAACATGGCCAGTCCTTAGTTCAACCTATCCGGTTACAGTTTCCGTTCTTGTTGAAATTATCGATATTTACGATATTCCAGAGCAAAAATAATCTGGTATCTGTGATTTGTATCATTATTAGTATATCTAAGTATTCGCCAGGGTATTGTTCCATGCCAAATATTATGCTAAAAATTGATTGTTTTGCTTGATTTCATTGCAACTGAAATCCCTCGCGTGTGACGTCATTTTGTAAGGTGGGTGCGCGAGGTGTAAACAATTGACGATCAAACATTTGCACTAAATCCGGAATTGATATGTTGATACCGATAGATTTAAAGCCTATGTTATGTCAATGGTTTTTTTGGTTTTTTTTGCTGTATTCCTAGTGTTTGTATTTCTGCAAGCTCAATAGCCACACAGGCTTATACTGCATTTACACAGGAACTTAGATTCTGTACATTTTAGCCCATGGCTGTGGTCTAATCCTGTTTTTACTGTATATCTTTGAGACTAACATTTTATTAGTAATGTGTCAGTCAATTTATGTAAGACTGCAAGTCTACAGGTCCACGGTATATGTACATGGTATATCTAGTGTTGATATTTTGATTTCTTAAAGATACATTATGTATTGTTTAATGGTCGAGAGCGAGACATTAAGTAATATATTGTAACAACAAGAGGACCGTCAGGTCCGAGTGTTTTTACAATATATTACGCAATGTCTCAGCTCGAGACCATTAAACATCTTAAAATACAGACACTCCGCACGTGCGTTTACAGTGAAATACGTCACTCGAGTCTAATATTTGACAAGGTACGATTGGCAAGTTGCCCGTACGATTATTTGAAATAATGGTACGCCAACATCAAAGGGTGACGTCACATCTGTATTTTAAGTGAGATTAGATAATGAGCTGGCAGTTCTCACTATAATATATAGTTAAAACTAGATAATGTAAAGGCAATTTGCTGAAAATTTCAGTCAAATTGATCCACTCTGAACAGCGATTTTAGCGATTGAATTTTGGGTATAGCCTCGATCATCATTACTAAAGTCGGTACAATAAAAAAAACATAGTCTCGATTATCCATTTTTTATTTAATTATCAATGAGTGTTAAGTAGCAGATAGGATTCTAATCCAGAAAAGATCGCAGGCTAGCGTTGGCACCGAGAGTTGCATAATGTATGTTTAACTAAATGTTAAATAACCAATCGAAGTATTATTTAACGTATCTTAAGTCGTGAAAGAAAAATGTGATATTTTAGCGAAAATGGAAATGGCACATCGGGCCCTTATATATTCGGAACTATATACTTCTGAGAAATGTAACTCCTAAGTACTTTTTGTTTTTGTCTATTAAAATGGGACACAATACCTTTCCTTCCAATTGAGTGAATGCCTGGATGGAGTTCGGAGATGAGCATTTTCTGCTTAGAGTAAGCAGGGATAAGCAATTTAATGCTTTGGGGCACGACCTTGACAAAGTTACATCATGAACATTTTCTGCTCAGGGTAAGCAGAGCGAAAAGCAATTTGATTGGTCGAGACTTTGGAACACAATAACTCTCCTTCGAATGTCCGAACTTGGTGTAGGCTTTGATTAGATGATGGTTTTCTGCTTAGGGTAAGCAGCGATAAGCAATTTGATTGGTTGATGGTTTGGGACAAGATAACTTTGGTTCTATTAAAGTGAGAGTGACGAAACTTGGTTTATAGTTTCATCACATCAATACTTTGACTAAGTATGATACTTAAGCAGAGCGATAAGCAATTTGATTGGTCGAGACTTTGGAACTCGACAACTTGGATTCTATTTGAGTGATAGTAGTGAAACTTCATGTATAGTT